GGGGACGGAACAGCTCCGACTCCAAGTGTCAGTTTCGTGTTTTATTTATTGTGCAGTCCAGTAGACTGCTGCTTTTATGTGTTTTCTTCCGGCTCGCCGAATGGGAATGGGGCGGGCAGCGCACGCATAACGCTCCGCGAGATAGATGCCTCGGTGTTCGTGCGTCTTTGAGCGTGGTTTACTCTCCCGGTACGTTGGTTGGACGTCGAGCTGTTGCGAGATTTCGCCGCGACTCCCTACACATAGTGCATGATTTTTTCGTGCTCTCAACCAACATCATGTACAGCATGAAGTCTTGTTTTGTTCGTATGTTTGCCGTTGGGTTGATCCTGTCGAGAATGCTATTTCTTGTTATTTGTTTGCCAGCTCTTCGGGGGTTAGACCCTTCGTAGGTTGTTGGTGATGGCCGTGATTACGGGCTGACAAGAAGACTTCGTCAGCGGGAGGTTGTCCGTTTTGTGGTGCGTTTGACTTTGGAAAAAAAAAAAAAAGGACGCGGCACCCATCTGTGTGTATGCACTTCATCATTCAAAGCTGACTGCTGCTGTCCCTGCGATGTTGTGTCTTTTAATTTTTTTCTGTAGGCTGGGGGGTTTGTGAAGATGTCCTTCCAGGAGTTATTTACGGCTCGATTGTTCGGCGGCAGTCAATGGCCGCTCTGTTGTATGCGCCATCGAAGAGAACCAAACAATCGTGATGATGAGCGGCTGTTGTGTTGGCGGTTTAGGTACAGTGCTCGCTTTTTCCTGCTGAACGTTTGCCACATTTGAAAATTAGTGGTTGGGGTGGGTGTGTTCTTTCCTGGACGCGAAAACTAAAGGGATTCGAGTGTGGATGGTTACTTTCGGTGGCCTGATGGGGATAGATAAATAGGGCTGCTACTTTTTTGTTCCTACCGACCGTTGTCGTTTCGCGGTCCTTCTAAAAGTGTGAGGAGGGCCTCTCATATTGTGTCTGCAGTTGTTATTATTTTTTTCTTTTGTTGTTCAGAACAAAACGGCGAAACAATCTGGCGAGCTGCCTAACGGACTCCCCACCTCGCCGCACTTTTAGTAGCAAAAAGGAAGAAGTTGTCACGTTCTAGGCCTTGCTTGGGCGTCGAGGGACGGTTTCCGACTAACACAAAAATGCTGCTGGAAAATGCTGGGTCTTGACGGAAAGCTATGGTGCTAGAAGTACACATCTTCTGGGTGGTAAATACGCGTGTAGTCTACCACTGCAACAAGTTCTTAGCTCTTTTCTGGCGATTAGTGACTGCGCAAGCAAGGTTGGACGAATGGGGAACGGAGGTGGACGCATAGCTCCTCGTGCTGCATTTGTGTTGTGTGGTACAGGAGACAGGCCTGAGGAGTGCGTGGAACATCAGTATTATACAGTAATATCACATGCGTTCCGCACGCCACGAATGCCTTAGGAAGAGAGAGACGCGAAAATCTGTGATGCGTTTCGCACTATTTGTTCTCTGTTTTTTCTTCATGGCGTGCTTTTTTGTGGTTGTTCTGAGGTGGACGGTGCAGCAGCATGGTGGGTGACTTTCGGATGCCCATCGCCTTAGAGAGAGAGAAAAATGTAGACTCAGTAGCATTGGGGGAAATGCCGCTCTGCGATCGCGGGCACACGCACACATCATCCACGCTATAGTCTAGAGACTCAACGAACCGCCGGAACGTTGAAGTTCACGCGGTTTCACACGGAAGGTGCAACCACAAGAAGCTGCACATTCGTTTAACATTTTTCGTTCCTTACGGGTGTTGTGCGGTATTGTGTGACTGTGGGTCAGTGGGCTTGTCGAGCGACAATATGCGGTGTTGAACGGTGCGGTTGTGGATCAGTTGCGCTTGTTCGAACGATAGAGCACGGCATGTATTCAAGCAAGATGGATCGCCGATATTATCTAGGTTTTTGGAGTTTGCAACATCATGGGAGGGGGGCGGGGTGAGGAGAAGGAAGGGCAAATGGATGTCACGTGG